ATAATCCAGTTTGAGACCGCTTTAACTGCCCTGACTCAGTGCTAGGGATTGCTGGGAACTATAGATTTGTGAGACATTGAGCCTTCTCTGTCAGAGAGTTCTGGTGCCACAATAAACTACAATTCCCATGATTCCCTAGCACTGGTGGTTAAAGTGGTCTGAAACTGGATTATTTCTGCAGTGTGTTTTGGACCTTGGAAACCCTGCCTTTCCAGCTTAGCAAACATATGACAAACACATGACAAACATATGACAAACCAATCTTTTTTTCTGCTACACAGCCTTCTGTTCTGATTCACATTCCGAAGTTTTAAACAGCTGATTTTGACCCAGAAAGCTTTGCACACCTTTGGACTTTATTAAATTATTTTTAGACTGTGTTCAAGGGTAAAACCCTGTTTTCTAGTGGCATCCTCTGTTCGTGCAAGAATATTGAAGATTCAGGATCCTGACCTGACAGATGGCTGCCTGACTTCTGCTGATATACCTGCAGCCAAGAAAAGACCACCTCCTCCCCAGCCATCTGTTCCACTGGACGTTTTCACACGGGGCAAAAAAGGGAGTCATTCCTACCTCCATCCGGCCCCACTCCGGCTCCGTGCAGGAAAAGTTCACACGACGTCGCAGCAAGCCCCTCCTCATCCTTCGCCATCCCTGCGCCATCCCTGCCTCACTCCGGGGTCTTGCTCGTCGTGTTCATACGACGTCGCAGCAAGCCCCGCCCCATCTTGCGCAATCCCTGTGCCATCCCTGCCGCTAGCCGGCTTTAGCCCCATCTTTTTAATTCCTTTTTTAAAAAGGAATTACAGGCGCTTCTGCCGGAGGCAATCAGGAGTCATTCCGGCGGCTGCTGTTTTCGCCGCTGGAATGACTCCTGATGGCTTCCAGGGGGCTTCCAGGTGGCTTTAGAGCTGCCTGTGTGAAAACGTCCACTGTCAGACATCTTTCACCATTATTGTGTTGCTCCTCATCCTTTCCTCCAATCTGCTTTCCTGCAGTTTCACTCTTTGGTTCTATTTCTGCTCTGCCTAACAACAGTGCAAGAGACCTTCAAAAATCTGTGTCTTTTCTGAATTTATTGCATACACAAAAGTACGAAGGAGCAGCTGTAGTTGTCAGGAAGTCATTTTGTTTGCCCCTAGGAACCTGAAGCAAATTAATGTCAATGAAAGGTTCAAATCCTAACGTAACAAGGAGGTTGCTTAAACAGTCAGGACATATGGAGACCCCAGGATATATGCATTCTCTATCCTGTTTTTCAATCTCTCCCCCCCTCACCCCCCAGCATCTTTACAAGAGCTCAAGGAGGCTTACTTGGCATCAGTCCCAGGGAACACCAACCAATGTTTAATTTCTCAGTGGACCTAAGTATTTCACCTGGTTTAACATCAAGATATTTCCAGCCTTCTTACTATGAGTTGGTATGAAGATTTATTGATAGCATAATATTTAAAATGGGGCAGAGGAATGGAGAGCAGAAAAATTAGTCTTGTGACTGATTTATTTCAGAACGATTAAGGCTAATCAATTAAGTTTGACTTAAAAAGACAAAGTGACTTTGTTTTTCCTTCCTTTCTTTTTATACGTAAACAGAGCAAAATAGGTGTCTTTGAAAATTATATGTAAAACTAATCACGATTAAGTACATTTTAAAACAACCACAGCATTTGACTAGAACAGGGGTTGGCAGCCTACGGCCGGGGGGGCCGAATACGGGCCCCCGAGGCCTTTAGACCGGCCCCAGCCCAGTCCTCCTGCCACTGCCGCACGCACCACTGCTGCGCGAGTCACGGCTGCCATTTTGTTTTCCAAAATGGCGCCGCGACTCATTTGCGCATGAGCAGTACTCCGGCTGAATCTAACCAAAAGCCTGTCTAGACCAACATTCTACATGATGGTTTTAATATTTTACCTGTTTGTTTGTTTAAATATTTATTTTAATTGGTACCTTGCAACAGTATCAGTTTAAATAATTTAAAACAATAAATATAATGTAAACTATTTAAAAACAAATTGAACAATTCTGGGCCTTTACAGACTGCCAGAAATAATACAGCTTAGGCCACTTTAACTGTCCTGGCTCAGTGCTAGGGAATCATGGGAATTGCATTTTTTTCTGAGACATTGAGCCTTCTCTGTCAGAGAGCTCTGGTGCCACAATAAACTACAGTTCCCATGATTCCCTAGCACTGAACCAGGACAGTTAAAGTGGCCTCAAGCTGCATTATTTCTGGCAGTCTGTAAAGCCCCTCTATCACTTAATACCGTATTTTCTGGCGTATAAGACAACTGGGCATATAAGATGACCCCCCAACTTTTCCATTTAAAATATAGAGTTTAGGATATACTTGCTGTATAAGATGACCCCTCTTCCAATGCACACTAAATAAAAATATTTTAAAAACCAGATTTGATTTCAATATGGTAATTTTAATTCAAATGC